TATTTATGGTTTTGGTCAAGTTCAAGTTTGACTTTGACTCAGAAATAGTCATTGCTTCATAAAACTGTATGAGTGTGTGTTTGTTTTATTTATTTATTTTTAAAGTACCGATTTAAATACCGTTTAGGAACGGGTACCATTTTAAAAGTATTGATTTAGCACCGTATCGAAATAAAYCCTTTCAATACCCAACCCTAATATCGGCCCAGTTTTACATATCGKATCGATACCGATATTCTAAAAAATGACCAATATCRKCCGATACCGTTATGAATGCCGATATATCTTGCATCCCTACAAATATGTCCTTTCTGTTGATCTATTAGTCAATAAATTTAAGCTTAAAATCTGATGATTGTTTTTGTTCACTGCAGCCTTCAGATGAAGACAGTCTGAGTCTGAATGCACCGATGAGCAACATCACAGAGGAGGAGGGCATYAGCAAAGATGACTCCAGTGAACACATCAGCTCCCTGACAGGTCTACACTGATACAACAACCAGCTGCACACACACACATCTGATGCTGCTGTCTATCATTCAAAGTAGACACAACTTTTATTTTAAGGTTTAACCATCTTTAACTTGTGTTTGAGTTGAAATGAAACATGAGGAGGTGAACAGTCACTTTGAGGAGTTGACCATGTTTTTCTGGTTCGTCTCCAGCAGGATGTTGAGCTCAGAGTCTGAGGTGAACAGGATCTGGGTTGCTGAGCTCTAAAGGAGAACAGCAGCAGCTCCCTGGACACAATTTAAATAGACTTTAATCAGCTAATTAGGTTGAGATGATTGAGAGTACATTTACTGAGTTTGAGACAAGTCCAAGAAAGCTAATTAATTTTTATTTTCTTTTTTGRCAATTGTTAACAGTGTTGACTGTGCTTCACTTAAATCTGTGGATGATTCAGTTTAGGATTTAGTGTTTTAAACTTCTACTGTTTTGCCTTGAGTTGTGTGTTTGTAAACCTCTCTGCTGCACAGGTACTATACACTGTACCACGGTTCTGTCTTAGAAGGGTTAAACCAGGGGTCCCCATAACGAAATATTTTCCCTGTTTGACCTTTCTTTTACACTGTGACAGAAAAATCTGAAGGCCGGCTGTCACTTTGACAGATTGCAGTCAACGCCCCTGACCACTTTAATTCTGGAAGACTTAATGAATAAGCCAGGTGAAGTGGAGAAAAAAATTAAACGAGGCTTCACAAGACGGCAAGTTTTGTGGCATCATTCACACATGGAGACATTTTCAGCTTTACGCACGGACWAGGCCTACATCACGGAGGTRTCTTATTCAATCAWAAATAAATAAATAAWAGATTCCCATCTGAGCATCATTTTAGATCTAGACACCATACTGAATGAATCTCGCTGTCCAGGAGCTGACAGAGCATTGAAGAGATAAGGACAGGTGCCTTTGGAGCATGTGTGACCAGCAGATTGGCTGAAGTACGTGGAATTTAGAGCCAAAAGTATGTTACCGACATGATGTCTGACTTTGCAGCACCGTCATGACCACACCTCTCACTAAAAGGTTTTTGTGCTTGAAAGCTAGTGAGATCAAGTTCTTAATTGTRTTCTGACACAATTTGTTGTTGATTAGGTCAAGAGGGTCAGAAATGGAGCTTTCCAAGCCAAAAGTAAGGTCACTTCCAGTTGTCARGGGGTAGAGCTTTGATGATGTCAWATGACCACATAGTATGGTCAGGCATGCAACAGGGATTACTCATACCAAGTTTGGTGTATTTTAGCCTTTCTATGTGAAAGTTACAGTTGGCACCTYGGCGATGGGGGACAAAAAACAACAYATTGTATTCCTTTCTCTCGTTTTGTCTGGCATTACAAGCAAAAACARTCTTCCAGTTGTCCCACAATGCATCCTGGGATAGGGGGTCGAGAATGGTAAAATGGACTGAACTTATAGAGCACTTTATCAAGTCCCTCCAGACCCAAAAGCGCTTTACACTTACAGACATTCACACATGCGCACACACATTCACACACTGATGATGGTAAACTACATTGTARCCACAGCTGCCCTGGGGCACACTGACAGAAGGAGCCTTCGGACCTGTCCTTCAAATCCGGGAAAAAGGAGAGTGCATTTGTGGGCCTCAATTGGAGTAGTTTTTGAATTTGGACAGCTTTTGGTGCGGAGCAGTGATGTCATTGGCTGACTAATTCAGCCTTCAAAGGATGCAGCCCCTGAATTTGGACRCAGCCTCAGTGAAGGAATGGCAGGAATTCTCAGCTGTTTTAACACAAGTAGGAAGTGTTGGGCACTTTGACTTCAGAAATGTTTTTTTTTTTAACATTGTTAACATTTTGTGTATCTAGATTATGGGACATTACTAGAACTATATTCAAACAGGAAATACTACATTTTGATTTAGATATTTATTTTTCATTTATTTATTTGTAAATGACCCTCTGAAAATAAAAACACTGCTATTACATACGGTTTTTCAGCTTGTTAGTTCAACATTTGACTCATCTTGTTTTATTCATTTCAGTCGACCCAAACTCGGACTCAGTGCGTCTGATTGAGGAGAGCCCTACGGAAGCCCTGAAGGAATACAACTGCAGAGACTCAGCTCTCAGCTCTCGCTTCATCAACTACATCAAGGCAGGAGCTTCTCTCTCTCTCTGATGGCAGTTATATAAAACTCTCATGTTTWCCGGGTTGCTTTACTCCACCATTAGTGTCACAGTTACTAAAGTGTCACTTTGTGCTATGGTCAGAGTGACTCTACTAAATCAAACATAGAAGACTGAGGAGCTACAGATAAATGATTTATTTAGGGATTTTTATAATGTCAGTGTGAAGAGACAAAGGTTCACAGAAACACAGCATGTTCCTGTGTGTGTGAGAAACATGGTCCAAGTAGATTTAAGCTGCATTTATATTCTGTAAGAGGTAAAGAAGTCTGTTCTTGCTGATGTAGGAGACATTMTTTTCTATAGTAACATTTATACTTCATGAGGAACAGCAGAACTTCTCCCTCCCTTCCTGCAGCATCATCCCTGTATAGATGTTTGTTTCCTTTACTGCAACCAGAATATTTGTCATACGTACATGACGTTTGGCATTTACAAATTTGCCACAAAGAGACCACCACAGTCCCTCACAGGTGGTGCAGAATAAYGAGCAATCATAGGGAACATGTTCCTGTCCTGCTGCTACGAGGTGGACTCGCTCCCAGCCAACGCAGCTAAGCTAGCTGGCGTTCTGCTAGTGCTTGTTGAAAATATTTCAGATTTTATTTTGAACAGTTAGAATCTGTTCAGAATGTCATGATGCATCTCAATAATTCAGGTACAAAAATCCCCAAAAACTAAGTAGACTCTCATCTCTCCTTCAAGAGACTTCTTCAGTCTGAGGAGTTTCAGGTGAATTCAGCCTTATAAGCACTGCCTCCAYATGGTGGGCACACAGGTTTAATGAACATCAGCGCTGTCTGTTCACATGCAAAAGAGGACCATCAGCCTAACAATACACTCACCGGCCACTTTATTAGGTACACCACGCTAGTAACTGGTTGGACCCACTTTTGCCTTCAGAACTGCCTCAATTCTTCGTGGCATAGATTCAACAAGGTGCTGGAAGCATTCCTCAGAGATTTTGGTCCATATTGACATGATGGCATCACACAGTTGCHGCAGATTTGTCGGCTGCACATCCATGATGYGAATCTCCCGTTCCACCACATCCCAAAGATGCTCTATTGGATTGAGATCTGGTGACTGTGGAGGCCATTTGAGTACAGTGAACTCATTGTCATGTTCAAGAAASCAGTCTGAGATGATTCCAGCTTTATGACATGGCGCATTATCCTGCTGAAAGTAGCCATCAGATGTTGGGTACATTGTGGTCATAAAGGGATGGACATGGTCAGCAACAATACTCAGCTAGGCTGTGGCGTTGCAACGATGCTCAATTGGTACCAAGGGGCCCAAAGAGTGCCAAGAAAAGATTCCCCACACCATGACACCACCACCACCAGCCTGAACCGTTGATACAAGGCAGGATGGATCCATGCTTTCATGTTGTTGACGYCAAATTCTGACCCTACCATCCGAATGTCGCAGCAGAAATCGAGACTCATCAGACAAGGCAACGTTTTTCCAATCTTCTCTTGTCCAATTTCGATGAGCTTGTGCAAATTGTAGCCTCAGTTTCCTGTTCTTAGCTGAAAGGAGTGGCACCCGGTGTGGTCTTCTGCTGCTGAAGCCCATCTGCCTCAAAGTTCGACATGTTGTGTGTTCAGAGATGCTCTTCTGCCTACCTTGGTTGTAACGGGTGGTTATTTGAGTCACTGTTGCCTTTCTGTCAGCTCGAACCAGTCTGCCCATTCTCCTCTGACCTCTGGCATCAACAAGGCATTTCCGCCCACAGGACTGCCGCTCACTGGATGTTTTTTCTTTTTCGGACCATTCTCTGTAAACCCTAGAGATGGTTGTGCGTGAAAATCCCAGTAGATCAGCAGTTTCTGAAATACTCAGACCAGCCCTTCTGGCACCAACAACCATGCCACGTTCAAAGGCACTCAAATCACYTTTCTTCCCCATACTGATGCTCGGTTTGAACTGCAGGAGATTGTCTTGACYATGTCTACATGCCTAAATGCACTGAGTTGCCGCYATGTGATTGGCTGATTAGAAAKTAAGTGTTAACGAGCATTTGGACAGGTGTACCTAATAAAGTGGCCGGTGAGTGTAGATCGTTAGTGCCCTGATTATCAATTATTGTTCACAGGGTGCAGAGTCATGCTTGCAATAACAGCATTGTAAGAGGGGGTCAACTGGAAACTGAGGCCTTCACCCGTTTAATGATGGATCGTTTCTCTTCACAAAAATGGCTTCCTTTAGTCCTCTCAAACCATTGTTCCTTTCTATCTAGTATGAAAACATCTTCATCCCTGAAAGAGTGACCACTGTTCTGTAGATAAGTGTAAACTGCAGAGTCCWGGCCTGATGATGTAGCTCTTCTGTGTTGGGCCATTATTTTGAACACTGGCGGGTTTGTTTCCTCGATTTATTAGGCTGATGGTCCTCCTTTGCTTGTGAGCAGACAGCRTTGATGTTCATTAAACCTGTTTGTCCACCATGTGGAGGCAGTGCTTATAAGGCTGAGTTCACCTGAAAATCTCTTGGAGGAGAGACAAAACGTTTCATTAAAGAAGAACCCGTCCAGAGGACCTGCTTAATATTATTGGAATCTGTTCATAAGTTATTCTTCAGTATATGGAGCTAAGAGCTGTGATAAATCATGAATGAATGAATGAGTACTGAAAAAAATAATGGAAACATTTTTTCTGCTGGATTTATGTTATCTGTTAAATTCATTCTGTTTGAACAAAACATCTATTCAATTTAATAAAAAGCACATATTTARTTTTTACGTACAGCATGTGTTTTGTGTTTGTCACTAACAAGTTTGTTGATRTTGTGAAACTTCTGATTCAGTTTTAATGAACTGAATCAAAAATGATTCTTCCATATTCAACATTTCAACAAACAAAGATCAGATGAATGAGAGACTCTGTCTCAGTGACATAATTGAATGGAGGAGATGGTGCTAACGTCTCTCAGTTTGGTCCAATGGCAGATGGATTCTGCAGGTCACGTGACGCCTGCAGCTGGTGCTGATGTGTGTGTTGGTGTGTGTAGGGTCGGACGGCAGCAGACTTCGAAGAGCCTCTCAGGATAGAAGAAGATTCCCACTGGCAGACAGAACAAACGTAGGTTTCTCTTTTTGAAGAATAGAACATTTTTCTGTCTACTTTTGTAAAAAAAAAATATGTAGAATTGTCTCCAAAGTTTGCTTCATTGAAAAGTAGCATTATTAATAAGTGAGGGCTTCAGTAAATCATTTTAAAAGCTGATTTATTTGTTGGTAACAGGTCAAAGGTCACAGGTAACACAGAGCTCCACATTGACATGATCAACCAGTTGCAAGAAGCTGTGGATCTGCTGCAGGACTCCAACAGGTGATTGCAGCTGTTAAACAAAACCAGCAGTCTGCTTCCTTTAAACTTACAAAGAACACCTTTATTTATTAACCAGACTTAAATTATCATTGTTCAAAAATGTGCATTGAAGAACTGAAATGCAGCAGAAAGTAATAAAATGATTATATATAAAGAATAAATAAGTCTTCAGAAAGTAGTTTTGAGTTTATATAAAGCAGAACCTGGCTGAGCTGAAAGAAGTCTGCAATATGTGTTTCAGAGTGAACACAGAGGAGGACCACCTATCTGGAGTCCAGCTGTACCCAGTGGAGATGGTCACAGTGGACGAGTCATTAAAGTGAGTTTCATGTGTTGTCTTCTTCTCTGTGAACACAAACAAGTTTCTAACAGTTAATGCCACACAACTAACCTTAAAAAAGTGACTTCCCCATAAGTTTTAGAATTTGGTTAATGATATTTAGGTTAAAGTAAACAATCATTTAGTTATGTTTATGTTATTGTTTTCTTTTCTCATCAGTGGACAGGACAGTGACGACAGCGCCACAACACCAAAGGTACTGTGTAGACGCTGAATCACTATAAACAGCCTGTATTTTATAAACTGAGACTGACATTATATACAGACATATTACTCTGCCCTTTAAGTACATRTGATGYATCTTATACCTGAAGTTSTGTCTTTTGAGAAGTTTATTGTGTTAGGACAGGATGGGTAACCTCTGGCCTCTGAGCCATAAACAAAACAGCCAGTTCAGATGTTATCTGTCCATTAAATGGACGTTATTAGCAGTTATCAGTCCCATAGAATTGCTTCAGACTGTCCCGACAGTRCCCCCTAGTTGGTTACCAGTACTGTTGGAATGCAACAATCTGCTACCGCCAAAGTCCGGTCTACTTTATTGTAGCCCATGTCATTTTCTCAAAAATTAACCATAGTGGTGGCCTCATATTAACCAGATTGCATAAAAAAACTTAGTGGTTTTATGCCTCATATTAACCAGATTGCATAAAAAACCTTAGTGGCATTATGCCTCATACTAACCAGCTGACAGTCTGAAGCCATTCTATGGGACAGAGAACCCACTAGGCRGCACAGTCGGGACAGTCTGAAGCCAGTTTGAAGCCATTCTATGGGACTGATAACGGCTAATAACGTCCATTTAATGGATGATAACATCCGAAGTGGATGAACAAGAAGGGGGGGTCTCTGCACTCACTCGGGGAGATTTTTGTTTTGTGGGTGTAGTTTGTTCAAGACGGTAATGGTCAGATTGACTATTTTGTGTGGGGTTTGAAGAAAGCTGGCAGACAAGTCAACTTGACCAATTACTGTTTTGTCAAACTTCGTCCACCCAAGAACCACAAACTATTTTCCAAACTCCGCCARTCACGGTTAGAACAAACTCCAACCACACACCAACTTCACCAATCATGCCTAGGACAAACTGTCCACACAGACAAGAAACTCTCCTTATGTACTGCAGAGACTCCTACTTGCCAGAAACAGTTCTGTTTGTCTGGTCCTCCAAGCAGTTTCAGACAATCAAATTAAATGAATAAAACTCAGAGGGAAAACTATAAACAACCAAAGACATTTCTGTGATAACTTAACAGTAGGGTTGGGCAATATTGGCAAAAAAACAACAACAAAAAAAAAAGATTAATTGTGGTATTTAGCCGATATTGACTAATTTGAAGATTATTCCCTGGAGTCCCTGGACACCCATATGTCCTGGTCACATGATCAATTTAGTGGGAAAGATTTGCTCTTCGTAAAAATCTGTTCCAAATTGTGTCAAAATTACAGACTTCAGGCTATAAGGTTTCTTGTTCCTGAGGGATAGTAGGATGGAGTGTGAGATGGATTGACAGATCCAGACCTCCTCAGTAATGAGGATGTTACTTTGGTTGATTGTGGTGAAGAAAGAGCTGAGTTGAGTTGCAAGGCTCTGCATGTCCTGTTCTGCCTGTGTTCCAGCCCTCACCTGCGGTCCTGTGATTTGGATCATGACAGAAAGAACCAGATCCTGAATCCAAGCAGCTGACTTGATCTTATTTTATATGGTGGCCGGGCTCAGCATTAGAAATAGGGTCGTGTGTAAGGAGCTCAGAGTAGCTGCTCCTCTGCATCTAAAGGAGTCAGCTGAGGTGGTTCATCTGATCAAGATGCCTCCTGGATGCCTTCCTTTAGAGGATTTTTCTGTCTCATTGGGAAGAGACCCTGGGGAAGGCCCTGGTTTCCCTGGCAGAATTATAATCTTTCTGGCCTTTTGACCTGGGAACACTTTGAGATCACCCAAGAGGAGCTGAAGAATGTCTCTGGGGTGAGAGAGAAATCCAGGTTTCTCACCTGGGTTTGCTGCCTCTCCAACCCAATCATGGATAAGAGGCAGAAAATGGAGACAGATCAGAGTTGGTGAACAACATGAGGGGTCATAGGAACAGAGGAAGGTGACTGACGTGTCATTCATGACAATTCCATAAAAAGAGAAGTGGATCCTGAATACTGCATTTTGTTGGAGATTRGAGATYATTTTATTGAAGCRAAAACTGAACCTGTGTGTTTAGTTYGTGAGAAGGCTCTGAGCATGAAGAAGCTGTATTGAAAGGACAGATTGAGACTAAAGACACCATCAGGGTTTGCAACAATAACTGTGGTATTATTAATTTATTATTCAGAATCRGAATCATTTTTTTGACATTGTCAATGAACAGAATTCACAAACTAGGAATTTGCTTCAGTGTAAAGGTGCAATAYGTGTAAAATATAACAAATAAAGAAAATACACCCTCTGTCTTTTATGGTGGTCTGAAGTGATATTTCAGGCTTGAACTACTCTGGTTGTGAGTCAGATCATCGTTTCAGTGCTTCCAAATAACTTTATTTCAATCCAGACCGCTGTTCGGAAGAGTTTTAAACTAAAAAACGCCCTGAAGAATCTGATGTCTTCTGCCATGTTTCTGCTCCAGATGCTACTGGGGTTCATTGTGAGTGGCTGCACGATGCCACGCAGTGACTCGACAACAAAGGCTGWCATTGGCTGAGACGTGTGACGAAGCCCATCTAAAGCCAATAGTGATTTGTGTTTGTGTTCATAGCCAGTGAACAGAGATAAATGTAAAGAAATAAGTAACTGTCTTAATGCACATAAAATAAATTATCGTTGTCAAGCATCGCCTATGTCGAACTTGCCTAGTATTAATTATTAGTACTTGGCTTTATTAACCATGGCWACATTCACACTGCAGGCAAATCCGACCCAAATCTGATTTTTTTGACCCATCTGACTCATATCCGATTCTTTTATGACAGTCTGAACGAGACAAATCCGATTTTTTCAAAACCGACCCAGGCCGTTTCAGTATGTGGTTCCCTTTCAGTCAATTCACTCGGTACAACATCATGTATGGGAACCACGCCCCTGCGTGT